GTAACAGAGTGAGACTCTGTCTTCAAACAAACAAACACAACAGAATAAATATACTCGAGGTATACATAGACACTATTTTATTTTATTTTTCATTATTTCAACTTTGTTTTTTACCTGCCTCCCGGATTCAAGCGATTCTCATGCCTCAACCTCCTAAGTAGCTGGGATTACAGGTGCCTGCCACCAAGCCTGGCTAAATTTTGTATTTTCAGTAGAGACAGCGTTTCACCATGTTGGCCAGGCTGGTCTCAAACTCCTGACCTCAACTGATCCATCTGCCTCAGCCTCCCAAAGTGCTAGGATTACAGGTGTGAGCCACTGTGCCTGGCCGAATGTGTTTTCAAACATTGCCTGGCCTGTTATTTCAACTTTTATTTTAAAATCAAGAGATGCATTGCCGGGCGCGGTGGCTCAAGCCTGTAATCCCAGCACTTTGGGAGGCCGAGGCGGGTGGATCACGAGGTCGAGAGATCGAGACCATCCTGGTCAACATGGTGAAACCCCGTCTCTACTAAAAATACAAAAAAAAAAAAAAAAAAAAAAAAAATTAGCTGGGCATGGTGGCACGTGCCTGTAATCCCAGCTACTCAGGAGGCTGAGGCAGGAGAATTGCCTGAACCCAGGAGGCGGAGGTTGCGGTGAGCCGACATCGCGCCATTGCACTCCAGCCTGGGTAACAAGAGCGAAACTCCGTCTCAAAAAAAAAAAAAAAAAAAAAAAAAAAAAAAAGAGGTGCATGTACAGGTCTGTTACAAAGGTATATTGCATCATGCTGAGGTTTTCAGTATGAAAGAATTCATCACCCAGTTAATGAGCACAGTATCCAATAGAAAGTTTTTCAAACTTTGCCCCCCTCTCTCCTGTCACCATCTTTATTTCCGTGTTCACCCAATGCTTAGCTCCCACTATAGGCGAGAACATATGTTATTTGGTTTTCTGTTTCTGCATTAGTTTGCTCAGATAATGGTTTCCAGCTACATCCATGTTGCTGCAGAGGACAAGATTTTATTCTTTTTTTTATGGCTACATAGCACTTCATGGATACACAGCATTTTCTTTATTTTTTATTTTATTTTTTGATATAGACAGTGTTTCATCATGTTGCCCAGGCTGGTCTTGAACTCCCGGGCTTACGTGATTCACTTGCGTTGGCCTCCCAAAGTGCTGGGATTACAGGCATGAGCCACCACACCCAGCCTGGCCGACAAGGCAGAACCCCATCTCTACTAACAATAATACAAAAATTAGCTGGGCATGGTGGCAGGCGCCTATAATCCCAGCTACTTGAGAGGCTGAGGCAGGAGAGTCACTTGAATTCGGAGGCAGCATTTTAAATGAGTGATCTGGTGCAAATTGTATCATCATGAAAAGATCCAGAAACCTATTATGAGGAGTAATAAAAGGAATTTGCTGCAGGATATATACAGTATATCATTAAAATAAATTTTTCAAATAAGCAAAGTATGTTACTTTGCTTATATAGCCATGTATGGTAGAATTGTGAAAATGTGTCTGGTAATGATAAATACCAAATGGTGACCATGATCACCCCTGAGAAGGGTGGCAGGGTGGTCGGATCAGGAAGACAAGGGGCTTCAACTCTAAGTGTAATGGTTAATTTGTTGTTAAAATAAACAAACAAACCAAATCCAAAGAAAACAGGTCATGTAGTAAGATCTGACAAAACTGAGTGGTGGATACATCAATGTTCATAACGTTATTCTCTATACTTTTCTGCATGTTTGTAATATTTCTTTAAACAAAGGAGAAATGAGATTTATGAAGTCAATCATCTTCCTACATACAAGCTACAGACAATTTGGTAGTATAATTTTAAAAATCAGCCTGGCACAGTGGCTCATGCCTGCAATCCCAGCACTTTGGGAAACTGAGGTGGGTGGATCATGAGGTCAGGAGTTTGAGACCAGCCTGGCCAATATGGTAAAACCTTATCTCTACTAAAAATACAAAAATTAGCTGGGCATGGTGGCGGGCACCTGTAATCCCAGCTACTCGAGAGGCTGAGGCAGGAGAACTGCTTGAACCTGAAAGGCAGAGGTTGCAGTGAGCTGAAGATTACGTCATTGCACTCCAGTCTGGGTGACAGAGGAAGACGCTGCCTCAAAAAAAAAAAAAAAAAAAAAATTTTTTTTAAATCACACAAGTTGCACAATGACAACAATTTGCACAATAACAAGCAACTGTGGATAAAAACCTAACAACCTATTTTTTAAAAGCAGCTAGGAGTCTATCTAAGGTACAGCATTTCTCTATCTGAGAGCAGGGAGGGCTTGAATAAGTGTTAATGTCCTTCAAGGGGCTCTTGAAACTAACTCAGGGCCCTATATGCTGCAGGCATTTCTTGGAATAGCCAAGGCATTGTCATGTGTCAAGAACTCTGAGGGCCGGATGAGGTGGTTCACACCTGTAATCCCAGCAATTTGGGAGGCCGAGGCAGGCAGATCACCTGACGTTGGGAGTTCGAGACCACTGTGGCCAACATGGAGAAACCCTGTCTCTACTAAAAATACAAAATTAGCCGGGAGTGGTGCTGCACAACTGTAATCCCAGCTACTCAGGAGGCTAAGGCTGGAGAATCGCTTGAACCCCAGAGGTGGAGGTTGTGGTGAGCCAAGATCGCACCATTGCACTCCAGCCTGGGCAACAAGAGTGAAACTCCGTCTCAAAAAACCAACCAAACAACAAGACGAAAAACTCTGAGAAGTTCTCGGAAAATAAAATTTGTGCAACTTTCTTTACTTCAGCACTTTTCAAACATCTAACAATAGACTCCTTCTTGTCTGAGGGGAGTTGCCTCAGCAAAGGCTGCCCTAACAACCTCAAAGTTCCCTTCCAACTCCCACAGTCCACCATTCTAGTCTTGGCTCCGTCACTAATTTACTGTGTGACTGGCCCAATCACCTTTCCTCTTGGGGCCTCAGGTTGTTAAGCTATTAAATGGTGTGCTGCTGAAATAAATCAGAGATGATACCAACAATGCAAAAACATTCCATGCTCGTGGATTAGAAGAATCAATATCATTAAAATATTCATGCTGCCCAAAGCAATCTACAGATTCAATGCTATTCTCATCAAACTACCAACATCATTTTTCACAGAAGAAGAACTATTCTAAACTGTATATGGAACCAAAAAAAGAATCCAAATAGCCAAAGCAATCCTAAGCAAAAAGAATAAAGCTGGAGGCCGGGCGCGGTGGCTCAAGCCTGTAATCCCAGCACTTTGGGAGGCCGAGGCGGGTGGATCACGAGGTCAAGAGATCGAGACCATCCTGGTCAATATGATGAAACCCCGTCTCTACTAAAAATACAAAAAAATTAGCTGGGCATGGTGGCGCGTGCCTGTAATCCCAGCTACTCAGGAGGCTGAGGCAGGAGAATTGCCTGAACCCGGGAGGCGGAGGTTGCGGTGAGCCGAGATCGCGCCATTGCACTCCAGCCTGGGTAACAAGAGCGAAACTCCGTCTCAAAAAAAAAAAAAAAAAAAAAAAAAAAAAAAAAAGAATAAAGCTGGAGACCAGGCATGATGGCTCATTCCTGTAATCCCAGCACTTTGGGAGCCTGAGGCAGGCGGATCACCTGAGGTCGGGCGTTCAAGACCAGCCTGACCAACATGGTGAAATCCCGTCTCTACTAAAAATACAAAATTAGCTGGGCATTGTGGTGCATGCCTATAATCTCAGCTACTCGGGAGACTGAGGCAGGAGAATTGCTTGAATCCAGGAGGCGGAGGTTGCAGTGAGCCAAGATCGTACCATTGCATTGCAGCCTGGGAGACAGAGTGAGACTGTTTCTAAATAAATAAAACAAAATAAAAATTTTTTAAAGTTTAATTAAAAAATGGGTATGTATCGTTTGAACTACAGGATCTCTTACCGTTCCCCAGCTGTAAAACCTCATGTCAGACCCCACAATTAGGGGCTTATTTAAGAATTTAGTTTTATTTCTCCTCCCCCACTTAACTGGTTCTTTCTTAACTAAAGCAGGTTCATGGTAGAGAAATTACAAAATGCAGAGAAGAATGATAAAACAAGAATTAAATTGGGCTGGGTGTGGTGGCTAACACTTACAATCCCAGTGCTTTGGGAGGCCAAGTTGGGAGGATCATTTCAGGCTAGGAGTTTGAGACCAGCCTGGGCAACACAGTGAGACCCTCATCTCTACAGAAAATTTTAAAACTTTAAAAAATTAAAAAGTAAAAGTTAGCCAGGCATGGTGGTGCGTGTCTGCGGCCCCAGCTACTTGTGAGGCTTAGGCGAGGATGGCTTGAGCCCAGGAATTTGGGGCTGGAGTGAGTTTTGACTATGCCTCTGCACTCCAGCCTGGTGACACTGCAAAACTCTATCTCTTAAAAACAAATCAAATTTACTCCAAATGCCACTTTGGGCTCTTTATAATGATAGCTGACATTTACAGAAACTTTATGTGCAAAGCGCAGTGCTACGACATCTCATTTAACTTCTCACTGAGGTGCAAGTCAAATCTTTTTTTTTTTTTTTTTTTTTTTTTTTTTTAATACGGAATTTCACTCTTGTTACCAAGGCTGGAGTGCAATGGCCCGATCTTGGCTCACCGCAGTCTCCACCTCCTGAGGTCAAGCAATTCTCCTGCCTCAGCCTCCTGAGTAGCTGGGATTACAGGCAGGCACCACCATGCCCAGCTAATTTTATATTTTTAGTAGAGATGGAGTTTCTCCATGTTGGTCAGGCTCGACTTCAGGTGATTGGCCTGCCTCGGTCTCCCAAAGTGCTGAGATTACAGGTGTGAGCCACTGAGACTGGCCCCTTCCTATCCTCATTTTACAGACGGGGAGACTGAGGGTCAGAGAGGTAGAGTCACCTGTCCAAGGTCATACTGTGGTTGTAGCTCTAACCAAAGCCCTCCTGACTGCAGCACAACTTCTCAGCCACTACCGTATGAGCCCCTCATTTGAAGACGTCTTTGTCACTGCCAAGATTCCTTTTCCTCCCGGCCCCCTAGGTCTTCCAGATTTTCTCATCTCATCTCCCCAGAGGAGCCACGACATCATCTCCTCCCAAAACAAAGCTAGAACCTTTACTGGAGACGGACCTGTGTTCTTCCCCCAAACTCAGTCCAGCTTATCTCCAGAAAAAGTATATGACTCGCCCTGGAGAAGAGAAAAAAAGCCTCTCCCCACCAACTTCATCCCACAGATCACTGGATTTGAGTCTGGAGACAGAAGAATCGGATGTGTACTTAAGTTTCAAATTGACTATTGTTTTATGTGAATGTCTGATAAAGAAAACACAATGGCTGCCAGCTGGGGGCTGGGAGTGAGATTTCCCACATGGAGAATTCTAGAAGACATGCCTGGAGTTCTGGAGTCTGGATCCTCTGGACAGACAGGTGGAGACACCAAAGGTAATTGTGGGGTGGGGAGAAGACACCAACCCAAGAGATTTGACTGCTTTTGGTCTATGCAAGAATGGAAGATGGAGGCAGAATGAGTTAGCAGCAAGCTTCTATGCTGCTGTAGAATCCAAGGGACTCGGCCAGTGCCGGCCAATCGAAGTAGAACGTGAGCCACAGACGTCATTTACACTTTTCTTGTAGTTGCTTAAAAACATGATAAATCTATGAAACTGAAAGATAGCTCGTGCAAATAAATGAACTTCACTTTGGTCTCAGTGATCAGGGATCCCAAATTCAATCGCCCTTAATATCCAGAGAAATAACTGAAATAAGTGGAACAGATAGGGTGTGAGCAAAGTTCACATGTTCCCGTAAGAAAAGCTATGCAGCAAACATATTGATGTATGTTCACTGAGAAGTTTCAGTGTGGGGACACTAAGGCATAGTGAAGACTATGGCAAATCAGAGGAAGCTGCGTATCTAAAGTAGCTCCTGGAGTTTGGGGCTTCATGGGGTATCAGTGTTGCTAGAGCTTTTACTTTTTTTTAAAGGAGGTGAAAGTTGGGATTTTCTTTTTTTTTTTTTTTTGACAGGGTTTTGCTCTGTCATCCAGGCTGTAGTACGGTGGCATGACCTTGGCTCACTGTAGCCTCCACCTCCTGGGTTCAAGAGATTCTTCTGCCTCAGCCTCCTGAGTGGCTGGGACTACAGGCGGGTGCCGCCATGCCTAGCTAATTTTTGCATTTTTAGTAGACATGGGAGTTCACCATGTTGGCAAAGCTGGTCTTGAACTCCTGATCTCATGATCTGCCTGCCTCAGCCTCCCAAAGTGCTGGGATTACAGGCATGAGCCACCGTGCCTGACCCCTAGTTGTTTTTTTTTTTTATTTAATCTCAAAAAAGAGATTGCACCACTGCAAACCAGCCTGGGTGACCGACGGAGACTCCATCTCAAAAACAAAAACACAAAAACACCTAGGTGGAATGGATCTTCACCTCTGGTCTCCTTTAGATCCTTGACCATGTTTAAAAGAGGAGGAAACTGAGGTTCTGAGTGGTTAAATACATTCCCATCTCAAAGAAGATCGAGAACTGTCTCTAGGTTTCTATTCCAGGTCTTTTCTGCTGTGATATAAAAACAAACATGGAGTTTTTGCTGTTCTTATTGAGAGTTTACTAGATGGCAGGTTCTGTGCAGGACGTATTAGGAAAACCCCACAAACGACGGATACTTTAGGATGCCCGGTTTAGAGAAAGGGGGTAAGAAGCCTCAGAAAAGTGGGGTAAATTGTACCAGATCATGCAACGGGGCTGGAATCTGTGTCTACATTTGATTACCAGATTCTAGATGCTTCTTCTTGCCATATCTCCTTCTACCCAACCAGGCTGAGGAAACTCAGAAACTGAGAAGCTGGGTGGTTTTCACCCTGGGGCTCCAGGGCGGGCAGCCTTTGTGCCTCTGCCCTTGCTTTCACCCAGGTGCCTCCGTGTGTCTTTCCTATGAAGTGGCTGCTGGGGAAAATTCTGTTTGAAGGAAACCTTCACTGCTTTTTTTTTTTTTTTTTTTTTTTTTTTGAGATGGAGTCTCGCTCTGTTGCCCAGGCTGGAGTGCAGTGATGCGATCTCAGCTCACTGCAACTCCTGCCTCCTAGGCTCAAGCAATTCTTATGCCTCAGCTTCCAGAGTAGCTGGGACTACAGGCATGCACCACCCTGCCCGGCGAATTTTTGTATTTTTAACAGCGAGGGGGTTTCACCATGTTGGTCACCTGGTTTTGAACTCCTGACCTCTGATAATCTGCCCACCTTGGCCTCCCAAAGTGTTGAGATTACAGGCTTGAGCCGCCGAACCTGGCCCTTCACTGCCTTTTAAAAAACTGTTTGAAAGCCACTAATCTGCCATAGCCTCTTAACTTATAAGTGAGGAAGCTAAGGCCTACAGATGGCAGAGACCCTGTGCATGTCAAGACTAGAGCTGGGACCACAGCCTGGGTCTCCTTGCTCCCAGCGCTGAACCCTGTAGGCAGCTGAGTTCACCTGGGAAGCTGCCCGGGGAGCACTCAGGCCTCCCTCCAACTTCTCTGGCTCTGCCCAGGACAGGGCGCCCTGCTGTCTCCCTGTCTCCTCACCTTTCCCACCCTTCCTCGTGTCTGTTTGGACAACTTTCTGACCTGCTGCTTCAGAACTCTTCTGGAGGTATGGCTGCCTCCACTGCTTGTCCCAGGGAATTCACAGGCATTTCGGCAGCCCAGGCTCAGCCAGGCCCACAGCAGACAGTTGTCAAATAGTGACTGTCTGGGCAGAAGGAGCCCTGTTTACCCAGGGCAAGACTCCACCCCTGGCCTGACCAGCTGCTACCCTACTGACTCAGCTGCCCTCATCTGTATTTGCTCATTCCACAAATATTTACAGAGCGCCTACTGTGTGCCAAGCACTGTTCTACATGCTGGGGATACAGCAGGGACAAGACAACCTAACTCCCTGCTGTCATGGACCTCCTGTGAAGGAAACAGGTGATAAACAGATCAGGAATGTGTAATTTCAGTGCTGTAGAGGATAATGGAATTGCTAGTGAGAGATGGATGTGGGGCAGGCTTCAATCTAGGTGCTTAAGGTAGACTGCTCTGGGTGGAGGACATTTGAACTAAGGCCCCAGCGATGACAAGAAATCAGCTATGTGAAGATCTGGGAGAAGGCATTCCTGGAAGAGGGAATTCCTGGCAGGTACCAGTGACAGGAATGTACTTGGTGTGATTGAAGAAATGTCAAAAGGCCAGTATGGCGGCCTGCAGTAAGCAAAAGGGAGAAAGATGAGAGCCGGAGCCTGTGGGGGCATTTTGGTCAAAGAAAAGAGCTCTGGCTGGGTGCGGTGGCTCACAGGAAGCCAAGGTGGGCGGAACACTTGAGATCAGGAGTTCAAGACCAGCCTGGCAACATGGTGAAACCCTGGCTCTACTAAAAATAACAAAAATTGGCCAGGTGTGGTGACACACACCTATAATCCCAGCTTCTCTGGAGGCAGAGGTTACAGTGAGCCAAGATCATGCCACTGCACTCCAGCCTGGGTGACAGAGTGAGACTCTGTCTCAAAAAAGAAAAGAAAAGAAAAGAAAAGAGCTCAGGTTGTATTTGAAGGACGATCCAAAGGTGTTGGAAGAGTTTCAGCTGGGATGTGAAACGTGGCTGTACCCTGATTTCTCCAACTCTGCCCGTTCATTACTTCCCAACCCAACTGTTTCCAGGTACATTTGAGGTTGTTTGAAATAATGTTTGGCCAGGCGAGGTGGTTCATGTCTGTAATCCCAGCATTTTGCGAGGCCAAGGCAGGCAAATCACAAAATCAGGAGTTCGAGACCAGCCTGGCCAACACAGTGAAACCACATCTCTACTAAAAATACAAAAAAGTTAGCCAGGCATGGTGGTGGGAGCTTATAATCCCAGCTACCTGGGAGGTTGAGGTAAGGAGAATTGCTTGAACCTGGGGGGCAGAGGTGGCCGCAAGCCGAAACCGCACTACTGCACTCCAGCCCAGGTGACGGTACGAGATTCTGTCTAAAAAAAAAAAAAAAAAGGAATAGTGTTTAATTATTCCTTTCCTTTTAAATTTTCGTTTTCTTTTTTAGAGACAGCATCTCACTATCGTCCAAGCTGGAGTGCAGTGGCGTGATGTGTGTTCACTACAGCCTTGACCTTCCAGGCTCAAGCAGTTCCCCCACCTTAGCCTCCCAAAATGCCAGGATCACAGGCATGAGTCACTGTGACTGATCTTTTTTTTTTTTTAGACAGAGTCTTACTCTGTTGCCAGGTGCCAGGCTGGAGTGCAGTGGCACAATCTCGGCTCACTGCAACCTCTGCCTCCTGGGCTCAAGCAATTCTCCTGCCTCAGCCTCCCGAGTAGCTGGGACTACAGGCACACACCACCACGCCCAGCTAATTTTTGTATTTTTAACAGAAACGGGGTTTCACCATGTTGGCCAGGATGGTCTCGATCTCTTGATCTGATAATCAGCTCACCTCAGCCTCGCAAAGTGCTGGGATTCCAGGTATGAGCCATCGTGCCAGGCCCCCGCCCCCTTTTTTTTAATGGAGATGGGGCTCATTATGTCACCTATGCTGGAGTGCAGTGGCACAGTCATAGCTCACTGCAGCCTCCAACTCCTGGGCTCATACCTATGGATTCAGGGTTTCTCCATGTTGGTCAGGCTGGTCTTGAATGCCTGACCTCAGGTGATCCACCTGTCTCAGCCTCCCAAAGTACTGGGATAACAGGCATGAACCACTGTGCCAGGCCAGATAAATCAATATTTTCAATTGCATAACCACATTACTATTACTGCTATTATTCACAGCTGACTTTGTATGTGAACCAAAGACTTCCTGTTTCAATTCATCCGCACTGTAGCACGATAACATAGCTTTGATCAACATCATAACAATACATGCTAACATTTTACATTCAAGAAATTCTTTGCAGTTTGTAGGACACTCTTGCCTCTATCCCCTTGAGCAGCAGAGCTACCCCGAGGAATAAACAGAACTAGCATTGTTAAACCCATTTTCAGAGAAGGATGTGGATCCCAGAATAATACAGAAAATTCTGCTGATCCCAGTAGAGCCCAGTGTTCAAATAAAATCCGTCTTTCTGGCTGGGCACGGTGGCTAATGCTTGTAATCTCAGCATTTTGGGAGGCCAAGATGGGTGGATCACTTGAGGTCATGAATTAGAGACCAGCCTGACCATCTCTACTAAAAATACAAAAATTAACCAGGCATGGTGACGCAAACCTGTAATCCCAGCTACTCAGGAAACTGAGGCACGAGAATCGCTTGAATCCAGGAGGCAGAAGTTGTGGTGAGCCATGATCACACCACTGCCCTCTAGCCTGGGCCACAGAGCGAGACCCTGTCTCAAAACACACACACACACACACACACACACACACACACTCACTCACACACTTATATCTCAAAAAAAAAAAAAAAAAAAAAAAAGCTCATCTTCCACATGGA